CCTGCACAGATTTTAAGTGACTATAAAAAGTGAGTAATGTGCTAGAAAAGTTGAAGATGCCAAATTAACTTCACCTTGTTCTGAATTATTTAATACTTTAAAAATATTAAGTAGGCAGTGTCTAAATCAGGACCTCCCTGAATAGTATAAACTTATATTTTATTCATGCTCTCTTTTTTTCATTTATTTCATAATATTTATGTTTTCTCGGTCTTCTAAAATGGTGTATAACCCTACTGAAAAAGTCTTTTTATTCTATAAAACTTAATCCACATTCATTCTCACATACTATCAAACTCACTGTCCCAAGAGTAATCTTGGTGAACTCAGTGCCACATTTCTCTGAACATGGTTGTGGAGAAACACGGTGGACTATGAAAGCTGGTGGAAGTATGTCCACCTACAAGCAAATGCGGCCAAGACCGTGAGCATGTCATCCAGTAATGTTGCCTTTGTTGTTGTGGCAGTGCGGGCGTTGGAAGAACTGGAGTCTTCATAACACTAAGCATTGTTTTGGAAAGAATGAGATACGAAGGAGTTGTAGATATCTTCCAGACTGTCAAAATGCTAAGAACACAACGGCCAGCCATGGTACAGACGGAGGTGAGAAAAGTCTCCATGAGTTTTTCACATCTCAGAAGCCTAGATTTTGCTAGCCAGGACCTCCTAGAGTCCAGGGACTTTCGACTCTAGAGACAAAATACTGTAGGAAAAGCATCAAAATGTTTAATATTTTTGAATCTCATTTTTCCCCTCTTTAAATGGGGTGACAGTATCAATGTCATTGTTCTGGAAATTATATGAGATTATGCATTAGGTTGAGCTATGATAAATTGTGACTATTGGACCATTTTTGAACTATAAGATGGCAAATTCATATAATTAATTACATTCATTTTAATATATATTGTACATATTTATAAATATATAAATACATAGAAAGCATACTAACAATAGCCTCAGCCCATTTTACTTCTCCCTTCTCTTTCTATATGCCTACAGAGACACGAGCTGCTCTATATTTCATGTCTTAACAGTGGTCATTTAAAACATTTGGTTCCTGGATAACCCTACAGAAATTAGCCCCTCATTTTATATTCTAGTAATTGACATGAAAATTTGAATATTTCTCATAGTAATATGAGTTCAAGATTTAGCCAGTCTGGTCTATTGAGCATTCATTTCTAAGGATAATATGAGTGATAGTGTTTATGTTCCTCAAAAGGCCACCAAATTATACAATTTGTTTGTGTTCCTAAATTCAACATCCACAATATCTTCCAGACTTTGATTTCAAAGTAGTGCAAGCATTTGGCTTGCAGTACTCAAAACATTATGTCAGCCTGACAAACTTAATGGGTGTTGGGGGTGACAGAGGGAAATTGGACGTTTAAAAAGCCTCAACACTTAGCCAAGCAACTCACTGTGACAAGATAGGAAAGCAAACTCCATTTATATTGCATTACCATTTTTATTGTAGAAAAATGCACATTTAAGCAAAATAGAAGCTATCTACTTTCAGCCCCATTGGCTACTGAAAATAGGTTTCTTTTATGGGGAATATCCTACATTTTCTCATCCCTACAGTCATCTGTAAATTGTAATTTTTCCATCTCTCCACTAATGCTCCTATTTATTCCAATATGACAGTGTTCTTCTTTGTCTGAAAAAAGGCCATGTTTCTACTGTTTTATTTTAGTGCGTGCCTTTCTAGAACAGACAACTAGCAATCACAATGAATTAGGCCAAATGGCACAGGTATTTTTTGGTGTGGGCAGCCAATCTTGTAATGCCATTTTCAGAAATGAAACGCTTGAAAGTCCAGCACCCTGCATAAATGGTTTTGTGAGCCTGACGTTCCTTACTGGCTACCTTTTGGCTGTCTCTCTCAATTATATATGAATGTCAGAAATGATGGCAATTCTGATTGCAGGCAGCAAGGGTCTACTGTCCGATCATAATTTTTTTTTAAAAAATTCAAATTCTGTTGGCAGTAGCCCAGAAGATAGATAAATCCAGATTTTTCTCAGAACAGTTTGCATCTGTATGGGTTTCTTCTAAATATGCAAACCAAGAATTAGTTATCACAAATAAGCAAATAATTATAAAAAGTGACTTCTAAGACATATAAGGAGTTTGTGTGTTTGGTTGGTGGTGATTGTTGGATACTACTTGGAAAACACTAATCTGGAAGGTAATGTAAAATCAACCTGCCACTACTTGGAATTAGGAGACTGTGTTAGTCAAATTGATTGGTGAAGTTAACAAACACTCCATGTGGCTAATTGTTCTTTGTTCACTAGAACCAATAAGTCATTGGATTGAATTGAGAGATGAAAGTAGTGATTTTGCCCCTATATAGATGGAACTGTTTTCTAATATTGATCTTCATTTTTCTGTTTTCCAAATATAATCATGTTCCCTTCTTATCTGTCTCTTCATACCTCGTCTCCTGCAGGATCAATATCAGTTTTGCTATCGAGCCGCGCTAGAGTACCTGGGCAGCTTTGATCACTATGCAACGTAGAAACCCCTGACCCATTCTGGATTTTTACTACAGGCCCTTCATTATCCATGGAGTCTCTTCTGAGCCATACAGGGCACTTGAGAAGTCCTTCTTAACTTCTAGCTAACAACTACTTAGTGGGACTATTACACACAAAACAAATTAAAAACAAATTATCCCAGGTGGACCAAGAATTTACAGTTTAATAATCTAACCTGAAAAATAATAAAGAGAATCCTGACTGATGAGGCATCTGAAGGATTTTGTTTGCAGATACCTCAAGGATTCAAAATCAAGGGAAGAAGAAATCACAGCAAAGAACCACCATCTTGTTCAGGATTGCTTGCTAGGTGCAAGGAGAAGCCGCCAGAGTGCTGCCGCTCAGCGCGGGATGTGTGCTGGTGCAGCTTCTCACCGCGAGATGGACTCGGCTTCAGCATCGCCCCTTCCCACCACACTGCTCATAATAACATTTTAGGGGGAAAGGTGGGGGGGAATGTTTCAAAAGGAAGTCCTTGATTTAGTTTTTTAGTATTGTAAAGATACTGCTGACCTGTGCTTCATTTCTAACTGTGTAAACTTTTTTTTAACAAAATGTATCATTCGATAAAGTGAATTTTAAAAAAAGTTACATAACTCTTCATTTTTTTATTTCCAAACTGTAGGTTTTTTTTAAGATGTAGAACTGTTATCTGTAATATCTTGCTGTAGAAATATCAAATAATTTGAAAATTTTTTGCACATTTTTGTGCAATACTCTTAATCTACAGTATCGGTCTCGTCAGATATTACTTTTACACTTGTGTTCAGATTGGTGAGAAAGTACCCATTCTCTTCAAATAATCAAAGAGAATTTTTATTTTTTATTCTGTTTTGTTTTGGGAATCAACAGGGAGGCGCAAAGTATAAAGTTGCTGCTAACATATATACATATATATCCATATTTTATAAGGGTGTCTATGTATATATAGACAGTGTGTCCACACAAAAAGATAGATATAGCTATCATTCAGTTCTTCCATGATTTAGTTTTTTTAATTGTAGAAAAGCTATTGTAAACATCTTTTTCAATTTATGCTTAATTTTATGATATATTGGTATTTCTTAATATCACAAAACTTTAATTTTTTTAAAGGGAAATGAGGAATGCACATCAGTGACTGTCAAACCTCACCCCCTAATTTCTTACCCAGTCTCCCGCCACCTACCCAATCATATTCACAAATGCCGTTTTGTTAGCCAGGCTTCCAACAAAGTTCAATATTTCTAACACTCTAGTGCAATAAAAAAATTATTAAATATCTAAGAGGTGTGCATGTGGGAAAGGTCAGTGCATATCCCTTTAGGAGGGGAGAATGTTGTAATATATCAGCTATCAAGTTGTTTAAAAAGTGTATTCAATCGTATATTGTCTATAATATGTGCTATGAAATTTGCATTTATGATATGTAACAGGGGCAAAGCCAAACTCATGTTACTCTGTTCGGTCAGAAACATTTTGTGGCATACAGCATTCCTGGGAAGTGCTGTACTTTGTTTTGTTTTGGTTTTAGTTTTGCATTTAGAGTGCCTTATAATTGATGCCTATTTTAATAGCATTTCTTTTTAGCTTTTGGTTCGTATTTCCATTAGTTCTTCGTATCTGTTACTCTTCCTATTAAAGCATTATATGTTTACCACATGTACAAAAACTCTTTGAATAATATGCATTCCTAGTTTTCAGCCGAGTCGGGGATGTTAGTGATTGTACCAGCCCAAAGCACTTGGATAATCAGGGCCCTTCTTCCTTTTGTAATAGTCCACATCAGGAAAAGCTACTTGTTTTATTTATAATCCCTTCCAAATATGCTCTGGAACATGCAGTAACTGCACCAAATTTATCTGAGTAACGAACATCATTGGCAACTTTGGAATATATTTGATATTCCATTAGGATTTTTCTAAAAGGGGAAATAAACAATATATAACTCCCCAATTCTTCCAACATAACTTCTATAGGAAGCCATGGATGATGGCATGAGTTTGCCACATTTTACGTAATTTTAAAGAACCCTCAAAATATCCAAGGAACTCTTAAAGAGTTTTGGTATAGGTATAATACTTTGGTTTAATTTTAACTTCATGGATGTTCTTCATGGAAGGATTTTTGTTTTCCACATTTTCCTATTGCTAGCAGAATGAAATCCAAGAGACCAAACACTTGCAAGCATTGTATTTGAGCACTTTTGTAAAAAACAAAAAGAAAAAGAAAAAAAAAGAAAAAATATATAATACTAAAAAAAAAAAGTATCTAGAAGGCTACCTCAGAATGAGACTCTCTAACCTACATCAGAACCAGAGAAGAATGTGCACTATGTGGGTCTGTTATTGTTTTCCTTTAGTTCGTATCTTTTGGAGATTTATCCAAGTGCCAGATTACTCAGTGCTGTAATTTTCTTTTAGTGAAACAAAGGGGGTCAGACAGACATTGCATCATCCAGACATGCCATGTTGGACATGTAGAATCCGATGGAGTATTACACACCAGAATGATTGGCCAATGAGCAGCTTCTCTCCCTGAAACAAAAACTGCCCATTTGGCAAAGGGAAAGATGGCAATATTCACAAGAAGAAAATGAATGGGATGCATACCATAGACGAACAAGGCAGAGACTATTCCAGGAATCTTACTGTTCAGGAGCTGTTCCTAGAACTAACTCCCTTACTGTCATTGATGTGCATTCCACTCTGTGCTTTTCTGTACAACCATTCAAGTTTTAATTTCCCAGGTAAACATCTTTATCTGTCATTGCCATAAACCGTCAAGTTTCCAATTATTTTCATCATCATAACCAGTACGGTGCTATTATTTACCTATGTACGTGTAGTTATGTATAATTTTGTAATTAGTTACAATGGTAAAAAAATCAAAATATATAAAAAGTGATTTGTACAGAACTTTATTTTAGCTCTTTTTTAAAAATGATTTGCATGGTTAGACAACGGCGAGGACAGCCAGGGGAGGGAAGGGCCTCTAGGGAACTTTGCACTTTCTATACCTTTGTACTATGCACTGCCCTATTGATTCTACACCCAATAATGTTATTACTTGAACCCATCTGTAAGAAACTGCTTCAGAAATTCATTTGTGTGTATGTAAATAACACAACATAGAAACAGGAAGAGAAAAAAGTCTGCAGTAATGCACATATTTTTTTCTTTCCTGTTTATTTTTGATTTTGCTTTGTTTTAGTCCTTCCTTTTATGTTTAATTCCCTTTTCGTTTTTCTTTTTGGGTTTTGGTTTTCTTTGGGTTTATGGGTGCCCTGATACTCCAGCAGAGATCAGAAGGCTACAGATCCATCCTATCCATCCGTTATGTGGCTTTGCCATCCAAGCTTGGAGTGTCTTTACAAAAATAATAACAGTTGTGTTCTTTGCTCTCGTTTTGGATGCATAGACTGAAAAATTAAAAAAAAATAACTTGTAAAATGGCTTGTTAAAAAAATACAATTACCTCTAATTAGTAGTACGCGTAAAATGTTTTACAGAATGAAAGGCGTGCTTTTTATTTTCTTACTTCGTTACATTGGTGGCGAAAGAAGTCTGTATGAAAATCAGTTCTTTGCTGACACAAGTTCCATTTGTTACAAATGAATTCTAATAAAAATGTCAGTGTTATGCAGCCCTAGCCTTTGCTTTTGTCCGCCCAAGCACTTTGGTTTTGAACTGATTATATGTCCCCTCTCTTCTGGTTAGCTAGTTAGCTCCTTTATACTAATAGTAACTCCATTTACTGAGAGCCTGCTATTTACAAGTGTCTGCCTTGGGGTAAGCACTTGTCACTGGTAATCAGACAGAGGCTCAGAGAAATACTTTGCCCAGATTTACATGGTAAAGGAAGGGATTGGTTTCATTCATGTCAGAGTTCATAGGCAATCTTTAATTCTGTGGAAGATGACTACTATATGTGAATTTAAGTGCATTATTCATGTGTGTAAGTTCATCTTCAAACAACTCTGACAACTCTCATGCACATAAAACTAGCTCCATGGTGTTAATTTCTTAAAACCTGTGGGAACATGGCTAAGCAAATACTTAGCTTGTATTATTTACTCAGTCATTCAATATTATTGAGTACCAACAATGGGTTAGAATCATTGTAGGTATTGGGGATGCAGCTCAAATGAGATACTGCTGGTGTTTGCACAGAGGCTGCAGTCTAGTGAGAGAGGTAAGCATTGAAGGAACAATAAAATTATACTTTTGGATAAGTGCTTTGAAGAAAAATGTAGGATCCATGGAGTTAGGACTTTCAATTGTGAGAAACAGAACATCTGACTCAAATTGGCCTACAGAAAAGAAAGGTTTATATACCGGCTCATATATGCTTGCTCATATAATAGATTAGGAATGGACTCATATTAGCAGACTAGGAATATACGATCTTGAGACACAACTGGATTCAGCGCTCAGGTGATGCCTTCAGAACTTGATGGCTCTCCCCATCTTTCAGCCTGGTCTCTACTTTCACAGTTTCAGTTTTAAGTTCCTCTTTTGTGGACCCTGGAAGCTTTAGGATCATAACACCACAGAGCAGACAAGTAGAAGAGTTTACTTTACCAACAGCACAATTAAAAGTTCCAGAATGGAGTAGGCTCTTGTGTGGCCATAATTAACCTAACGTGGGATAAGTGATCATCTCAGGAACACAAGTATGGATGAGAAGAGAAAATGTGTACATTGAGTTTTCAAATCAAGAAGGATTTGGATTTAAGGTGGCTGTCACCTTGCCAAATAGCAGTGACTATTATGGGACCAACAACTGGCTGCAAATGGATCTAATTAGTTAAGATAAGGCAAAGCACAGCTATGTTTAGTAATGTTACAACTACTTGAATATAATGACAGAATAAAACAATCCCAATATCCAAAACATTATTTTGGGAATTTTGATACTGAATAGACAATTAGACTCTTCTTCTGCCTCTCCACATAATTGACCTTTACTTTTACAGATTTGATCACTCTATTGATTGTGT